TTGGTTCCGCTCGCGTTTCTATTTCTTCACTCTGGTCTTCGTCAAATTATTCAGACTCGGAGTAAACCCGCGCTTTCAAGGGTGGCTACATGTGTGCTTTGTCTGGGTTGTAGAGAACTGACTTAAACAACTATGGTCAAGTTATCCATGAAGTTCTCAATTTCACAACATTTAGCTTCGTCGTACTGAAATGTTGATCCTGCTGCCTGCCCCCAAACGCAGATTATGTAACTCACATCTAAGTGTTGTATTGAAACTTGCCCAATGTACCGTGTCCGTTTTAAACATGTTATATGCAAAAGCAAAGGTATATATGCAGTGCTTGTGGTTATAGTTTCTATTACCTGTCTCCTTAATGGTGCTATACCACGCTTTTTGATTTTGGTGTGCATAAGCATATATATTTTGTATTACTAGGCGTGCATTAAGTATATGTTCTGTACTGGGCTGCATTTTCTTCTCCAGCTTGCACTCGATCTGGTTTCTGTATAATGGAGCGGCTTAGATACGGTGAAGAGTAGATCAGAACAATCCAACCATGTCCTGATTCAGACCTTGTATGTGCATATGCAACTCATTATTGTTGATTGGAGATTGTTGTCTTATTTTGTTGTCCACAACGGCTGTTAGAATAAATCCAAGGCATACCGTCGATCATCCGAGGACCAAGCAATCACACGAGCACGACACCGAGATTTGTTAATGGGTTCACCGATATGGCTACATCCTCGGGGCCTGACTATGGGCGCTCCTCCCCATGACACCGCTACAATACCGCACCCGGTCGCCCTGGACACCGGCACAAGCCGCCGGCTTCCTCTGCGTTCCGGTGCTATTATGTTGGCATAAGTTACATCGTGTGTCTACCCTCGCTATATATGAGAGGCCTAGGATACAAGTGTCCTACTAGGACACGACTTCATATCCTATCTAAACACAATACTACTCAGAGTCCTACTGTAACCTACCTTGTACACTATATTCGACACAACTCCAACAACGGCGGTGGCTTGAGGAAAGGCCTTTCCAAAACTGAACTGACAAATACAAGCCTCTGTTCCCAAATGACAATTCTGAGGTATTCCTTGTGCACTTTCTAGGAATAGGAGCAATATCATTATGGGAATCAATAACCTACTCATCTAATGGGTTGTATGTGCCTTGGTCTTCTAGGAAAATGTAACGATGGCCAATGATCCTGCTGCCCTAGGCGACGAGGCGGATGGTACCACAAGGTATGTGCTCTACTCGCCCCCGGTGTGTAGTGATTCATCCATCGGCACCGCTGTATGTCGGTTTGACTCTTTTGCCTGTCTGAAGTAAACTGAAGGACGTGCCGTTGGCTGATGAGGTGATCCCCAAAAATGCTAAACGTACGGGCCTCTTACAGGAGTTTTACAGGCCCTTTCCTAATATACTCTCCGGCCCCCTGATTTTCACCCTGGTGGGGCCCGTCCCTCCCCCCTTAATCCAGTCACAACATGACAAATTAGTATCACCCCGTAAAACGCCCGTAACCTTTCGTCGATGTAGCGTTACTCAGGTGATCCCCACCAAAGCCAAGAAGGCCAGGCGCAACTAAAACCAGCCGGGTGGACGATGCGGTGGCCAGTTTATATAGTTATATACTAGTACAAATGCCCGTGCGTTGCAACGGGCATAGAAACTCGCAAAACTTGATCCATCTGCTGTTACGTTCCTTTTTTTCATTCAATCCTGATAAACATCGATAATTAATAAGGTTGCATTGATTATTACCTTTTGGAGTCTGAATTTTGGAAGTTAAGAAGCCACCTTAGCTTTCTTCATTGGATAGAAGAGTAGTGATTCATGGAATAATCTGTGAATACTTTTTATTTTTTATTTTTGGAAAGACATGGTTATTTATTAATTTTATATAAGAGTAGTGAACGCTGTATTAAAATTGGATTTTTTAGGAAAACATTTTTTGAACAGAATTTTAAAAAATGTGAATATTTCAAATTTCTGGAAATATTTCTAAATGTATTTTGTCAACTGGAACAAATTTTGGGTTTTTGACCAGTTTTTAAAGAGTGTTACATATACACATGTGTGCAATTTGTAAACTATTTTGTTTACTATGTTAAAATGTTTTTAGATTTTTTTGAGGCAAAAATGTATTTAGATATAGTTTGTAGTTTGGTTGGGAAGAGTTATTGTGTTTTTTTATTATTATTTAGGCTTGGCCCAAACAAAGAAGACATATGGCAATAAAAATATTATACACATAACATTTTTGTTGAAGTAATTTTAACTGGACGCAATTGTTCCTTCATACTTTCAAGCACGCTAAGCATGACATCTTCTTGTCTGAACAAGAACTTGGGTTAGATCAGACTCGACTTCTAAATGTGTTTTGGCATTGGTGGTATATCAACGTGTATATATAGGCAAGCTCAGCAGTGTCCGTTCTGGTGGTATATATCAACGTGTATATAGAGGCAAATTGAGCAGTGTCCGAAAGAAGTTCACTTTCCCGCTGTACGTCGTAGCCTCGTAGGTTCGTCTTCGTTTGCTTTCTTCCTGTACGTCAAGCTCTTACATGTTTTGTTTTGTTGGGCATGAGCAGCGCATGCAGTAGCAAACCTGCATGCAATGCATCACGCAAGCGTTCGGGGCTTGCCCGCTCCTGTCTTCCTCCCTGCTGTTCCTTTTAGAATTGGGCCAGCAATTTTTTTCTCCCTCGTTTCTTTTTTACTGCCAAAAGTGAAATCAAGAAATACCTCATCCAATCCGCAATATATGCATATCGTTGAAACCTCCTTTGGCCAATACATCCAGAAATTACGTGTGCATGGAATAAAGTCCGTTCACAGTACCGATGCCATGTTGACGCCGTCCTGCCGGCCAAAACTCCAAGTTCTTGAACCTTGATATTGGCATGTTCGCGCCCCACATAACGAGCTCGCTGTGCTTAATGTCGGCTGTCCGTCCTCCAAGAGATCACTGCCATGCAACTGGGCATAGTGCAAAATTATGAAGACCATCCACTCGCCATTGATAGCATGCTTGAATACGCGTGTAGCACCCGCCGAATTCTGCCCGCCCTCGGCCTCGGCGTGTGCTGCCTCATGCC